CCCCCCCCCCCCCCCCCCCGGCTTTCGCTCCTCACTGGGGCTTGTGTTGACCAAAATCCAAATTCTTCCCAACTGCCCAAAGGCCAGGTCCTGGGGCAGCGGCAGTCTCCCCAGTCCTGATCTGGGCGCAAAAGTGAGGGCAGGACAGGATCCTGGAGGCAGGGCCACTGGGTCCACTGAGAGGAGTCTGGCAGAGGGCTGAAAACTAGAAATGGGGGTAAGGGGTGAGGGACGGAGAGGCAAACAAAAAAGACCAATAAAACAAGAAGACAAACCCCCCCTGCCCCAGCGGCAACAGCAGCCGTGCATGTCCGTGGTGGTGGTGGTGGGGGTGGTGGCAGCAGCAGCGGCGGCGGCGGGCAGGCGGGCGGCACTGCTCACTCGCGGATGCTGGCCGAGTAGGAGAACTGGGGGAAGTGAGTCCGCTGGTCCAGGTCCAGAGAGCCCAGGCTGTCATCTGCAGGGGTCAGTGGAGGTGGATTGGGAAGACGGGCTTTCAGAGGGCCCAGCACCCGGCCAGACTCCCGAGGAGGGGGACAGAGGGGAATCAACCTCAGGAAGGACTACAGACAGAAACTCCACCAGACTTCCTCCCTGACAGACACCCTTTGGTCATAGCCCTGGCTCCAGGGTCTCGGAGCTGCTCACTCAGCCACCTCAGCATCCCACCAGCTCCCTGCTCTCCTCCTCCTCCCCTTCCACACCTCAATCTACCTCGAGGTCTGCCCATACCTCTTTTAGCAGCTCCTGCCCTGGCCACCACTCCCACCCACAACAAACCCTCCACATGCAGCCAAAGGTCTTTCTAAAGCCCTGATGCAACTCTGTTCCTCTTCCTAAAAAAGCCCTTCCATAGCCCCCGTACAATCTCCACTCCTCCCAGGGGCCAAGGCCCTCCTGCTCACCCACCCCCTCGCCTCACCCCTCCCCATCTACTCTGACCTCTGCAACACTCATTTCTAGACGTCCCACAGCCATTCCTTCTGCCAGGACTGAGTCTCAGCTGCCATGTCTCCCCCTCCAGGAAGCCCTCCTTGACCCGCAGCCAGGCGTTTCCTCTGGGCTTCCCCAGTCCCTGTGCTCCTACACACTGTCCTGACCACTCTGGGCTGGCACCCCACCTGGACTGAGCACTCCCCGAAGGCAAGGCCAAGGGCTGACTCCATCACTGCCTTGTCTCCAGCAGAGCCTAGCACTGGGCGGGTGAGAGTAAGAACTTCAACAGCTACAGAGTCAATGAATAATCCGGCTTCAAAGACCTGGGTGGTCTGGGAATACAACTACGGATCTGCCATCTCCTACCCAGGCCTCTGCCTGGACAACTGGAACGGGGGGGACCCAGAGGCTGTGGTGAGCCTCACTGGGCCCACAGACGACTAACAGCAAAAACCCTGAGAGCTTCCCCCAGGAGAACTGGGTCTGCAGCAGACGCCCTCCACCGCCCGGCCAGCCCACGGGGTGCGGGGCTCAGACACTCACAGCGGTCCGGGGGTGTGATTGTGATGGACTGGGCAGTGAACTCATCATCGAAGTACCTGGTGTCGACCTCGGATGTGACCTGAGGTTTGAAGGGTGGTGGGAGCTGCGGAGGAGAGGAGCCCAGGCTCAGGACCCCGAGGCCAGGCGGCTTCGGCCAAGGTCCCCCACAGGGGCCGCGCTCCTGCTGGCAGCAGTGGGCGGTGGCACTCACCTTCTTCTGTACCACATCCTGCCAGTTGATGCTGAGGAAGAACCTGTGCTCCATGACCTCCTTGGCATCGCTGGGCCCCCCGCCGAGCCTGGGCAGAGACGGCCATGAGCACCCGCCTCCCGGGGCCACCAGGTTCTGGGAGACGCTTTCGGTGCTGGCCTGGGCCTGTGACATGCAGGCCCTGAACAACCTTAAGAAGCCTGTCCCGGCCACAGACCTCCCCCTCACAGAGGAGGAAAGTGAGGCCAGGTGGAACTCGTGCCTAGGGCCAGAGCCAGGAGACTGCAACTTGGGCCAAGACCAGAATGTGAACTGAGAGGGCATTTGGCCACCTCGCATCCCGGCTTTGCCACGTGTGACTGGGCCACCCAAGGCCAGATCAGGGTTGCTCTGCTCCTCAGCATCCCCATGAAACAAGGTAGCGCGGGCAGAGAACTAGAGAGGGGCCTGACCCCAGGGAGTGCTCCGAGTGCCAGCTGTGGGGACTATCAGAGGCTGTGGGGACCACACAGCACACCCACCAGTGCGTGTGCCTGTGGACACTGCCCCTTTGGGCTGGGGGGGACGGTGGCAGCAGGTGGTGCTGGGCAGCGCAGGGCAGTCACCAGCCCTCACCTCTGCTTGGGGTCCTTCTTAAGCAGCCCAGCCAGCAGGGACTTGGCCTCGGGGCTGAGCGTGCGCGGGAAGCGGATCTCCTCCATGAGGATGAGCTCGAAGAGGCGCTCGTGGTCCTGGTTGTAGAAGGGCAGGCGGCCGCACATCATCTCGTACATGACCACGCCCAGCCCCCACCAGTCCACAGCCCGGCCGTAGTCGTTGTCCTCCAGGACCTGATGGGGAGGGGCAATGAGGGGCCAGGACCATACTCTGGGGCCTAGGAGCTGACTGGTCCAGTGGGGACAAGGCCCTGCCTGGGGCTGGGGAGGGCAATCTAAGGAACTGGAGCCCGGCCCTCAGAGCGTCTAGGTGGGGGAAGCATCCGGTCCCGGGGCCCCGCCTCCCTCGGCATCACAGCCCCAGACACCTCGGGTGCCAGATACTCGGGGGTCCCGCAGAAGGTCTTCATGGTGGCCCCATCACTGATGCCCTCTTTGCACAGGCCAAAGTCAGTGATCTTGATGTGGCCGTCTTTGTCCAGCATGAGGTTTTCCAGCTGTAGGAAAAGTCAGTGTATCAGGAACATGTCTTCCCAGGCTTCCTGCCACCTCCCCGAAACCCCAGGTGCCCAGCCCTGCCCTGGAGGGGGCTGTCACATCATGGGCTCCAGGCTGAGCTTTGGGGTACACCCCAGCACAGGGTTAAGCCCTCACCCTCTGAGGCTCACACCTCCCCAGTCCCTGGCCAACCCCCAGGGGAGCTGGAAAAAAAACAGGGCTGGGTCCTGCCCCACCCTGCCTCCCCTCCCCCACTTTGGATGTGAGGGACAGTATCGCTCTCCTTTTTCCTAAGCTTCACACAGTGGGCCATTCAGTGGGCCTTTGTGCAAACCCCCCAAGTCAAACAGATCACTTCCAGTCTCTTAGGCACCCCATGTGCCTCCTCCCTATTACTAACCATCCCCTGCTCCGGACAGAGAAGTAATTTTACTTCTTTGCTCTCTTTTGCAGTTTCTCCTGCCTATACATATGCCTGTCATCAACACAGATTTGTCCCGTCTGTCCTGGCTTTCCCAACATCAGTTTGTGAGACGCGTCCACGCTGCTGTGTGTGGCTGAAGTGTGGTCTCTTTAACTGCTGTGGAGCCCGTGTGCGAACACACCACCCAGACTTTATCCATTTTCCAACAGCGGACACCTGGGATTAGTATGACTAGTGCTGCTAGGAGTGTGTCCACATTTTGAGGTGCACACAGGTACCTGTTCCTGTGTGCATATGCCTAGGGCACAATGGCTGGCTCACAGGGTGTGCACATGTCCACTGCTGGTGGATTCTGCAAACTGCCTTCTAAAGTGCCTGTACCAATTTACACCGTCCACTGCTCAGCAGCCTGTGCTCACAAGGGGCTCAGAGGGACTTCATGCAGGGCTGCCTGCTGTGGAATCACTACTAGGGGCCACAGCGGAAGGGTTTGAGCCCCAGAGGGAGCTAGACACAGGCACATGGACAAGACAGACCCTCCCTGGGGGGAAGCTCAGCCTCCCTGGCTCCCTGGCGTGGGTCCTGCATGTGTGCCCGGGCCAGCCTGGGCCCTCCATAGGAGGCGACCACACACTCACCTTGATGTCGCGGTACACCACATCCCTCGAGTGCAGGTACTCCAGGGCCGAGACGATCTCTGCACCATAAAAGCGGGCCCGCTCCTCCGTGAAGACGCGCTCCCGGGACAGGTGGAAGAACAGCTGCCGGAGGAGGGAAGGGGGGCAGGACATCAGGCCCCTGGCCCAGAAGAGGGAAGAATGGAACCCTGCCTGGAGGGCCAGTGAAAACGTCACATCTACTCCATGAACCGGCAAGTGACAACCAAAAAGAACCAACTGAGAGAAGAGTTCACGTGAAGGATGACACCGCAGGGAAAGCAGGGGACAGTCCTGGGCCATCCTGCATGAAGGGGATAGTGAATGAGGGAGTGACAGCGAGGAAGCAGAGGACACGAGTCATGAGCAAGTGGCCGCAGCTGTGAGACCACAAGGGACAGATGAAGCCCAGGATCATGAGCCAGGGAGTCACCGTGTGAGAGGAGTAAGGTCAGGGAGTGGGGCCAGCAAGGGGCCGATGCTCTGCAACAGAACCGGGAAAGCAGAAGGCCTCGGACGCTTTCTCTGGAGGTCGTCCTCCAAGAACATCCTCTACACTGTCACCCCACCTCCCTCACAGCCCTGCCACAGCACGGGACTCGGTTTGTACCCTACCCACCAGCTGTGTGAATCTGGGCAAGCCGCTAACCTCTAGGTTTCCCCGCCTGAAAAATGAGGATGACGACGCCTTCCTCAGGGAGCGAGGACGGGACCGGCTGACCCCCGGGAAGTCTCCCTCCGCCCTCCATCGCCCTCCCCCCGCACTTGGGAACGAGACACCCAGAAACCCAGGCGGCAGCACGCTCACCTCCCCACCGTTGGCGTACTCCATCACGAAGCACAGGCGGTCGTGGGTCTGGAAGGCGTACTTCAGCGCCTGCGGGAGGGAGAGTGGCTGGGGCTCTGCCGATTCAGCCTAGACCCCCCCCCCTCGCCCCCTGCCATGGGAGTCGGCAGTCGGGGGGTTCAACCCTCAGCTCCGCCTTTTGGGCTGTGTGAGGGGCTCATGGCTCTGAGGGCGGGAGAGGTTACTGTGCTGAACGATCCGTCCTCTGCCTGCCACTGAGCTTCCAAGAGGCAAGGTCAGGAGGGGGACTATTTTGGGCAAGCAGAGCCATTTCACCTTGGAGCTGACCCTGAGCTTGGACAGGAGATCTGCGAACAGAGTGGTTCTCACACTGCTCTCAGGCGCTCTAAAGAGGGCTCTCTCTCTCTCTCACACACACACACACACACACACACACACCCCAGGTCTGCTGGCTGGGAGCTGGAGCTGACCCTGAGCTTGGACAGGAGATCTGCAAACAGAGTGGTTCTCACACTGCTCTCA